AAAAAGAGGAGTGATGTAGCCAAGTTCACACACCTAATCTTTGACAGAGGCAAGAATTCAACAGAACCCTTCAGCCCAAAATTCAATCCCTTATTCCCAAGGCCATCTACCCATTCTTCCCCAAGGCTACCTTCATTAGGGTAAAAGTTAGGTTTTAAATAACAGTACAGTGGTCTCTTGTGTTGCTTTTTTTGCCGCAGAGTCCCACCAAGATTTTTTTACTTGTAGCTGAAAATGGAATGCCTGAAAATATTTGGATGATTGTCTGAATAGTTATGATTACAAATAATTCTAATAACTGTCTATATTCTTTACTAAGATGTTCTTTAAATTATCATCCAGACACAAGACTTTTTAGTTCTCTGGGAAGATAACGTAAGAAAAATCAGCAGAACTATCTTCCTCTTATAGTGCTTTGCTTGTAACAACTCATTTGGCATACTAGGAAAGCTGCGTAAAAGCAGTTATGGTAGTGCTTTTTGCTTCTCAGTGTCTAAGCACTAGTTCAAACGTGAACTTTCTTGGCAGCCATTATCAATGAATTAGTGGTAGACTTATGTCCTACCACACAACTGGTCTTATTTCAAACACATCATCGCAATGGATAATCTGGATATCTCATGAAAGGGGAAGAAGAAACGAAGACATGGAAACAGAACAGCTTCTCCAAGTGTATGTTTGGAGCCTTTATGTCAAGGTGAAGGGATGGTCATGTTGATCCTATATTCAGTGCTCAAGACCACCTGCAAAAAGGGGAGGGGGGAATGTTAAGCCTCATGCCAACATCTGCCAATCCTTAGTTAATTACCAAGTCTCCCTGCAACCTACCCGTGAGGACAGCGTAGTGTTTGGACACCAAGGGGAGAGAAAGAAAACACTGACTTCTGTAGCTATGCTGACTCACTACCTAATGCCATGCAAGAAAGGAAAATGTGCACTTTCTCTTCACAAATGTTATTTCCTGGCTTGAAGCCGGTGGCAACCTATTGCATCTCCGGCATCACCTTCTTGAGTCAAATTAGTCCTTTCATCTGAAAAGGAGAAGTGAGCAAGCCCTTTTTATTTGCTTGGAACTGGAGGAGGAAAAAGGTCTAAAATCAACAGCAAATCTAAAATAATTCTGTTGCTCCAGGAGCCACACACACTCTCCAAAAGCATCTTTTAACTAGAAAATATCTAAGAGGATACTTCCCATGCTTTTGTAAAAAGTGTAACTTTTTGGTACATCAGTGCACTGTATATCTCTGAATTTGCTTCTATGGAAAAAAACAAGCACACCATCTTAAATGTAAGGAATTACGTGAGGAGAAATAGTTCCTTTCCAGGTCAAGTGTGGGAGGGTTATCAGCTGGCAAGTGTCAGAGTTTCCTGTTCTCCTGTTTCTCCTCCTGTTCACCCCATTTTTATAAAGACATGGAGCTACTACTACATAAGCAAGCTGTGTGTGCTAAAATATACAACTGGAGAGAAACAGGACTTGCCATTTTGCCCATTTGAAAAGTTTAGCTATCTTAGTCATAAAAATGTATCCTTGGAAACAGCACTTTCTATAGAAAATAAATTATTATCAGAAATATGAATGCTAAGAGGTCCTTTCTACAGTGTAGAGATTTTATATACTTAGCTAAGTCCAGTCACAGGTAATACATTCATAACTCACATACATATGTATATGTATGTGCATACATACACCT